TTTCATTTCCTGGAAGTCTACAGCAAGACTTGAAGGACTCAATAATAAAAACAAGAGCCAGGATACACACCTAGTCTGTTTAACAACAGCAGCCTCCAAAGACTGTCTTCCCACGTGGTCTGCAGGGACAAGTCTATTGATAGTGTCAGCTGCACCCTGTTATATGGTGAAAGGAAGGTGCTTTTCTCTGCCTCTGCCTTGTCTCCCTTCCTTATTCTTTTCTTCCTTTTCCCCTCCTTACCTCCCTTTTTTTGCCTTTTTGTGGTAAAATTTGACAGGGTTTTCTTTGTTATTAGTCTATGTTTTGGCACTTCTATTATTTCTTCTTTGTACGTAGTGATTATGAGTAAAATCCACAGGAGGTAAAGAGCCTGGTTCAAGGGTCAGCTAAGAGATTCTAAATACCACTGTATTCTGTTATGATTATAGGACATAAAGGGATGGAATGGGTAGTGGTCGAATTAAGCTAGCCCTTGGTTAAGTCTGCATCAATTCACGTCATCCTCCTTGATGCATCCAGTGTTTGCAGTGGTCACACTGATAATTAAATGGGGCAGTGGTGGAGATTCCCAGCCTTGCATCCTGGACAACTCTGAGGGTGGTACTCTTCACTGCCCTTCTCCTGGGTGTTACTCTCTTTGACAGAGAGTGCTGTTCAGGGGATTCCACTTCCTTTCCCTACTTGAATATCTCTTAGTCTCTGAGTCAAGGAACCAATGTATGCTTTTTTGAAATTCTTAAGTATGACTATTTGAATGGTGCATTTGGGAACCAGACAGTGACCCAGTAGACTCAATGCATCACTTGACCGCTAGCAATAAAGTAGCCTGCGAGTGTTTATGGTCTCCATGTGTCTGCATTAACATGGACTCTGTAACCAATATCCTAGAGATACCAGAGGACTCTCCCTTTCCTAGTTTATGCTTATTGAGTAAATTAAATGGCCAGAGATCTTTGGAGACAAATTCAGAGAATCACTGCAGTGCATAGCTCTGACTTCTCCTTTCCTGAATGGGTGTTTTGGACCTGAGAACTGACTCAGTTCAGGAAACTTGGCAGGTGATTGTTTCTTTCCACTTGAACAGCTGATCTTTGTTTACAGTACATCCAGATTTTATATAGAAAGATATATTCTTCAACTACCTCTGTATCGTGACTATGCTGACTGCCTGTCTACTTTCCCCATGTCCTGTTAGCCATCCCTGTGGATCCCTCAAAGTCAGGCACTGCTGTCACTGGTGCCCATAGCAGCAAGCACATGCACTTTGCTTCTGCTGAGTAAGTGCTACCACCTGGTTCCTGTCACTCCAGGACCCTATCATCCTCTATGCTACAGGACAGCCCAGTTCTGCAGTGGCGCCCTCTATTCTCAGCCCTCACTTGCAGATGACAGCCACATCCATGTGTCACTGTTTATCAAAAAGCTGGTGCTGGCTTCACTCCACTCCCCAGCCTCATCCTGTGGTCACGGTAAAGTGTCTCCCAGGCCTTGTCATGGAATATAGTCAGCGGATAGCACTCATTTTAGCACATCCTCTTCCCTGAACCCATCGCTGCCTTCTGCCACTATCTAACAACAAAGTCATGGTTTCTCAGCTTCATAGAACAGGTATGCCACGCGCTACAGTGCATCAGAACCAGGACCCCTGACAAAAGTGTTATATCTATAATATGGGACAATGCTCCTATTTTGACCAACTGTCTCTTATCTACTCCCATCCCTGCCGCGGGCTTCTAGCCTTCCAAGCCTAATTTCCAGTTCCTGCTGGTATATATGAACTTGATTCTATGGCTTTTTCAATTTATTGTTTTATTTCTTCCCCCCAGCAATGATATTTCCTGTTGAGTCATACTGGGACCTGATCTTAATGAATGATCTGGTAGCCAAGCACCATGTGGAGGCAGAGAGAATACACTGTCTTGTAGAGTATTTGCCTTATCTGAGGGATGTGCATACACTTTGGGGTGGTGGCCCTGTTCTTTAAGAAGGGAAAGTGGGGTGAAGTCTGATTTAAACTTCTCATAGTTAGCCTTATGTCTCTTCTTCCTTGTCAGAGCCTGGACTCTGATGTTGGAGGCTGTTGGTGGCTGAGAATTCAATCTTTCCTAAAGTTCTGCTCTTTTTATACTAAGTCCTGAGTGTACTCTTCAGGGCTGCCCATCCTCTGACTACAGAAGACAATGGAATGGGTAGTGTAGAAGGGTTTCTGGTTTTCACGCTTTGCCTTATACTAATGACTAATTGATTGAAGACTGTCATTTTCCCCCTTTTAAAACATCCAGGAATACCCAACTTCACATTTCTAATTATTAGTTCCTCCCACATCTTCAGACACCCGAGAGACTGAATAGGCCACATCCCTTTTTACCCACATCTGGTCATAGTTCCCCTCCAGTAGGAACATGGAATACAGAATTGTTAGTATCCTGTGTATTACTTATGTTTCTTATTCTCCTGAGGACCACTCCTGGTACCCACTGTATAAGCCAGGCTTCTTAGAAGTAGGGCTTGGGGCAGAATTAGGTGTTCATGATATTGTAAGAGCATTCTGGGGAGAAAGTATTAAGAGGTGAGGACAGAGGAGAGTTTAGCAAGAGTATCATCTCAATGGGAAGTTAGACTCCCTTTAGCTCAGTACAGGCCTCAAGAGAAAGGGTTTGCTGTGAGTTATTAGCAGCCACAACTCCCAGCAGGTATGAGAAGTTAGAGACATCAGCCAGCAGAAAGGATCTGAGTCTGGGGTTAACCAGCACCTAATGCAGACTCCGTGGTTTGTAGAGGTCCTTAGAAAAATGAATTCATCCATATTTGTCTTCTATTTGACTTCCTGGCAGGTAGGTGGTGGAGGGAATCCTCAGCAGACAGTCTTGTAAAGAGGCCGACTGATTTCTATGGGATACACAGCTTATAAGAACAGAGGCAAAGTGAAATTTTCTCAAAGTAAAATTTATTCTAGTCTGGAAGACAGCAGGTTTTTGGCACAGGTTTGCCAACTATCTCAACGAAAGATCCAGCTATTTATTTAAAGGCAGAGATTTCATATTCTTTTTAACTGCTCCATTCTTGTCAGTTTGCCCATAAGTGGCACTGAGAAAAGGAACTCTTCCATTTGCTTCGAGGTTATGGAGAAGGTAGAGTAGGGGGGGCACCATTTCCCCTCCAAGAGAGTAGGTAGATATTCCAAGGGATGATTAAAAAATTATTTTTCTTACCCAAGCTGTTCAGGCACCCTAATAAAGTTTGTTTAATTTTAAAGGGAATAAAACCAAACCAAACAGAATAAAGCTAATCAGCGTAGAACAATGCGAGTGATACAGTACTTCAAAACAAGATAATAGGAAATCAACAGTGGTTATCTTGTCTTTTGTGAAGGGGAAAAGTGGAGGGCCAACAGCAGGATAGCACGGTAGAGAGGAGCCAAGGCATGCCAGTTGATAAGGTTTTTAAGGGGATCTTGGAAGAGGCAATTTGTCAATAGACTTGTGAAATGTAAAATGAAATCAAACATCAAACTTCTAATGTGACTTCCAAAGGAAACATTTTGAAAGATCAGAAAGTTGAGACAAATATGAAGCATTTGGCTCCAGTTCTTTAAGCATTCGGATTTAATCGCTGAGAGTTGTTCGGAAAAGGGAAGGAGGTTTACTGAGTGCACTGCTGATTGTTGCCTTCTCAAAAATCTCTTAATGTTGAAAGGGCTGTGAAGGCAAAATTCCATAACTATTCTTTATGAAGAGAGTTGTGATGTTAATGCTGAAAGTGGTCAGTGAACTTTGGAGGATTAAATTTTACTCCTCCCCCTTTTGTTTCCTCAACATGCTTGTGCTCCAAATACGTAATTGATACTTTAAAACCATGCTATAGTGGAAGTAATGATTGGAGCGCTCAGAAAGAGCAGCGTGGAAGAGGAGGAATAGATAGGCTTTCTATCAGCATGTGTAGGAGTGGGCTGGTACTGAGGTTCTTAGGAAACCGTTTATGGCTGGAACACATTAAAAAAAAAAAAAAAGCAACTTGGGCCTGTCAACATAAGGTTAAGGAGTTCACACTCTTATTTTTTGGGCGCAGGAAGGCTCTGACCTGTGGTTCTGAAAGATCATGTTACCCAGAACATGAATGCAGAATCTGAGTATCAGGAAGGGAGAGGAGACTGTCAGAACAGGCTGGTAAGAGTAAAGATTAACTTGGGTAGGGTGTGGACCACATTCCCTGGTTTAGCCATGTGATGGATCATCTAGGGAAGGAAAAATGCAGACAGACAGGGAGACCACAGTCAGCATCATATGCTTAATCAAAGCAGGCAGGAGATGGAGACAGGAGTCGGAGGTATGGAGGGGAGATATGAACATGAATCAGTTCTGTTGGATCTTGTGGTCAACGACCAATTAGTAGTCTTAAGTATGACTAGTTCTGGGGTGAAAGAATCCGTCCACTTGCCCTCAAAGACTGCAGAAAGCTAGAATTAGGAGTGAACTCTTGGCGGGGTAAACAGGGGTCTGCGCCTTTCTGTAGTCACATTCAAGAGTCTCCCCTTCCTGGAATACTGCGTGCAGCCTGTCGAACAGCGGCCGGGTCCCGCAGACCACAAGGCCCTCGTCGCTCACCGCACTCGCGGAGGGCGAAGCACACGAGTGGGAAGACGTCTGCATCGAGCCTGTTGCTTTTCAGGGGCTGGGACTGCGACTCCGCGGCCTGAGAGCTCGAAACGAGGACTGCAGCCAAGGCCACCGCACAACTATTCCCTGAATCGCCGGGCGGAAGAGGCCCTGCCTTGCTCCTCCCCGCGCCGCCGCTCGCTCAGCCAATCAGTGCGCTTCTTCGGTCGGCGGCCGGCGCTCTGCTGACGCGCTCAACCAGACTTGCGCCCGCCGTCCTTCAGCGGCGGCCCCGCCCGCGCTCTCCGGGCCCGTTAGCTGCGCGCCTAACCTCTCTTAAGACCGCCCCTGGGCGGCGGCGGCGCGTGCAGACGCGGCCCTATCGCGCCCCCTGGCGGCCCGGCGGGGGCGCTACGGGCGCGGCGCTGACCCGGAGGCGGCGGCGGCGGTGCCCGGATGGAGGCACGTCATTGTCCCCCGCCGGGCGGCTGGGCTGTGTGCGGCGGCGGCGGCGGCCGAGGGGGATGGAGCGAGCGCCGAGCCGGGTTAGGTAAGCGCCCGCCTCCTTCCCGCCTGCCGCAGGCCGGCGTGCGGCTCGCCGCGCGCCCCGCTCGCCTCGGCCGCTGTCGGCCCGGCCGCCCTTCGGCCGGCGCAGCCCCTCGCCCGCCGCCCCCTCCGCAGTCGCGGGCCGCCCGGGACCCCGCCGCGCCGGGGAGAAGCTCGCTGCGGTGTGGACGGGCCAGGCCGCGAGAAGGGGGCGGCAGCCGCGGCGGTGGGCGGGCGCGGGGAGCGCGGGGGGCACGGGCAGGCCGGACCCCCGGTTGCCATAGACACGGCGCTCCCGCCCCCGCGGGCCCTATCCCGCCCCCTCGGCCGGCCAGTCGGCGGGATAGCGGGCTGCCCCGGAGCGGCCGGGCGGGCTCCCGGCTGCGGGCTGGGGTGGGCGTGTGCTGGCGCGGTCGCCCGCCGCCCCCCGCGTGGCTGCCACCACCCGTCCCCGGAGCCCGGGGCCGGCCTCCCCGCCCCCACCGCGTCCCTACCCCGAGCTAACTTTCCCACTCGGGGCGCCCTCTGCCCGGCAGCCCGCGCGGGATCCCCCATGTGGGTCCACGCCTGGTGTCCGAGCTGCCCACGCCGGGCGAGGCGAGCACGGAGGGGAGGCAGGCGGGTTGGCGGGCGGCGTGTCCCCGAAAGCATGTGTGCCTTCCTGGCGCTCTTTATCTTACGGGCAGGAAGAGCCAACTTACCTGGAAAGGAGGCTGCGGGTGTGGGGGTAGTTCGGAGGAGCATCTAGAAGTTTTATCATGTAGGACTTTAATCTCTACAATGAATGTAGTTGAGATTACTTTTGTTGGAAAGCTCTTATATTTTAGTGGGAGGCTTAGGACTTTCTTGTTTATGGGAAAACGTGTTGGTTATTCCAAGTAAATATACTCCTGTAGTAGTGAAAGTGGTTGAAAAACTGTGTTGTTGACGCCTCTTTCAAAGAAGCAACCGTTTTGCAGGTTCTCACGCAGGTTTTTGGAGTCTAAAAGATCACTTCTTACTTTGCCACTCATTCAAAGTGCACAGGGATTATGAATAGTGATAGCTGGTGCTTCGCTTATTTGTTTTTACTTAGGGTCAGTTTCACTTTCTTTTCTGTATCATTGAATGAATGTTAACTGGTTTGTAAAGGTTTAATGCTAATCGTCTTTTGTTTATTTAACTATAATTAAAATCCAGGCTGTGTCCTTTTAAAACTCTGGCTCTCATAAAACGGAAATGGTGCGAAAACCTGGATTACGTTGTTTATGAAGAACTAGAATGTAACAGTTTCTGTTTAAATGTGTTGATATGTATTTCAGTGCCACAATGAGATGGAGTGCCACAATGTTTGTTTAAATAGTCGTACTCTTAAAAACGAAAAATGAATAATACATTCTAGCATTTGGTCATCATAAAATATATACCCTTGTGTAAGGGACTAGGGGTTTTAAGGCCGTTGGATAAAAGATTGTACTGAAAGGAAACATTTGTGAAATTGATTCGTCTCATTCTTCAACTTGCGTCAAACTTTGATTCATGTTCTCGTTTTTTAAAACATGCTCTTGTAACTTGGTATATCTTTAGAAAGTGTTGAGAGGAATGTTAAACTTTTAATTGAAGTAGTTGTTTAAAAGTCTTGATATTTATAGCAGTATTTAGAAGCCTTACTACCAGTAAAGAATGTGGAACTGTTTGAATCTTAACATTGGTTGTAAGAAAGGTTATCTCTGTGTCAAATGGAATTTAGCTTGATACCTGATAGTTTAAGATTTCTTTGGTTGAATATACAAATGAATTAATTTTGTTTGTATTTCCAACCTTATAATACCAATATGATCACTGACAAATTGTATTTTCCTTTAATTTTTTTTCCATTTAAGAGTGGTTTTCTTTCTTTCGTTCTTTTTTTTTTTCATTTTTGTTTTTTTCTTTTTTATCAGTACTGGGGATCGAACTCACAACTAACTGCTTGCTAGCAAGGCAGGCGCTTATGCTGCTGAGCTTTTTGTTAATCATTGTATGAAAGTAATGTTTACCTCAGGAAAAAGCAATATTTTGCTGCTATTTTATATTATTGTAAATAAGGCTAGATTAATGTTTTTGTCACTTTTTTCCATTCCTTTTTTTGCCCTCTTTTTTGTTTTCTAACTCCTGTCCCCACATTTCCATAATATCTGCTGACCATTAGGTGAGGAGAGTGTGAACTTTTTAGAAAGACTCAATCTTTCTTTGTGAATAACAGTCTTACAGTTTCAATTAAAGCTTTAAATCATTTATTTTAGTATGAGATGTAACTAACATTTTCTTGTCTGTGTGTACAGTAGTGTCCCAAACTTTTAAGGTTTTACTTTTTCAGTGATAGTCTTGCTTTAGTGCTGTTTTTTTTTTTTTTTTTTTTTTGCCAACTTACTGTGAGCAGCAAGTACACAGTAGTGTTTGCTGAAGTGAGAAATACATGGATATTTTAAAGGCAACTCAAACTTCAGCATATGTGGAGTGCAGGTTTTTAAAGGATTAAATGAGGTGCTGTATATAAATTACTCAGCATAAGCTGGTACTAAAAAACAAATGCTGGTTACTTCTTTCCAGAATATCTGTTCATTCATTTGTTGAATACGTGTGAGAAGCTTTCTCTACACCAGGTCAGGAGATATAAAAGCATAATAGAGATCACCAAGTAAAAGAGCTATAAATACTGAAGGGCTGCCATAGAAATCAGCAGAGGGTGCTGGAGAAGCTTTTAGGAGGGTTTCCAACTCAATCTTAGGGAAAGGATTTATTGGGAAAGGGTCCTAGAGGAAATGAATTTTAAGTTGAGTAGAAGAGTTAACTGGTCAGAGGGGGAAAGACAAGGAGGAGAGTAGATAAAGAATAGCATGTGCACAGTCCAGAGAGAGCAGGGACTAAACATGAACTCTGTATGGAGGGAACATGACACGCGAAACGTTGGAGGTCACTAGGTCAGAGTGCCAAGTGTAGGTGTTGGGAGAAAGCACTGTGCTTGGGCGGCCGGGGCACTCCCAAAGGGTTTTCTGCAGGTAGTGGCACACCTGGATTTGGCCACGTAGGCAGTTTTGGAAGCATCACTAAAAGTACTCTGTTGGATAGGTGGTCTAGCTAGGAGGTTTCTCCTGGTCTTAGTCGCTGACTAGTTTGAACTATAATTGCTTCATTTTATAGACCCTGTGGATTATTGTCTGATTTCATAGTGTCGTTATGAAAATTAAACAAGTTAATATTTGCCTATCAATTAACACGATACCCAGCACAGTGTTTAATTAGTAACTTTAAAATAGGATTCAGAGAGAAAATTGTAATTAAGTACTTTTGTAACTTGTATTTATGTTTTTGTCCTACAAGTTTTAAGAAGTTGTAATACCATATAAATGAATCTCTTCAGAAAAAAGTTTGTTCCGAAGATGAGACTTTCTATAATTATAATTTCTTTAGAGTGTGATGTATTTCATACAATGTCATTTTATCTTTTTTGTTGTTTTGAGACAGGATCTTACTGCATGTTCCAGGCTGGCCTTGAATTTCCTACATAGCGCAGGCTGGTCTCAGTTGGTGCTAGTATTATAGAGTATACCATCATGCCCCATTCTTATTTTGGACTTTAGGCTCAAAATAAAAGCTACTTTTGCTCTTTGTGTTGTCAAGATTTTTCTCTGAGAAAGTATATGTGAACTGGTAATTTAGCTGTATCAGTAACAGTTCGTAGTGTTAAACCGAAAGGTAGAAGTAGGTACTTAGTAAATATGAGTGTATATAGAATTGGAAATTGGAAGTACCAGATTAAAAACTGAAACATACTTTTAGGAGACATGGAATGCAAGATTCTTTTTTTTTTTTTTTTTTTTGTCTTTTTCTTTTTTATCGGTACCGGGGATCGAACTCATGACTGCCTGCTTGCAAGGCAGGCACTTATGCCGCTGAAAAATGCAAGATTCTGAAATAAAATTATTGACATTTTTGAATTAACATGATTCTAAATGTCCTAAGAAAATTACTAAAAGGTGATAGAGAGCTGAGGATGTAGTTCAGGGGCAGAGTGCTTGATTGGCCTGAGTGACACATGTAGGTTTAACTCCCAATACTACCAAAAACAAAAAGGAAAGCGAGAGAAAGAGAGAAGTCATTGTTTTATATTTGGATGATTTTCTGGAAAATAATTTAAAATGGCTAGAAAACATTCCAAAATCAAATGGCAAGGTGAGTAGATTACTTTTCTCCCTTTTTGAAACAGATGTGTGCTTCTTGATTTTTGCAGAGTTGAACAATGACCATAGTTGACAAAGTTGAATCTTCAGACCCATCAGCCTGTCAGAATCAGCCAGGCAGTTCCGAGGCAGTCTCGACTGGAGACATGGATGCAGGCTCTGCCGGCTGGAGTGCTGTGTCTTCATTAAGTGATGTTTCCAATCATACACTTTCTTTAGGACCAGTACCTGGTGCTGTTTATTCAAATTCAGCTATACCTGATAAGTCAGAGCCATCACCACCGAAGGATCAAGGTATTTTTTTATCACTTCAGGAAACTCCTGTATAAATTCTGTTGGTGGGTCAGTAGTTTCAGAGAGGGGTTTGTTTTGTAAGAGATATTGCCACATGGGTAGCCAATATTATATGATAGAAATTATTTTTCTTTGATGAGTAGGCATTCATTATTGACATATGTATCATAGCAGGTATTTTTTTTTTAAGTTACTCAAATACTAATAGTTTCTTTCATTTCTAATTTTTGGAAGGATAAACTGTCTTGGAGAGAATGGAGATGAGCAAGCCTTATAGTTTCAGTTAACCAGTAGTTACTATGTTTCCTTAGTAGATACACTATCTTTCCTTGGAAAAAAGCAGATAATGTAAACACAGTTACATTGTTAAAATTTGCCCCATAAATGAAACATTGGCACTTTCAATTGGTACTTTTAAGACTTGGAATAAAATTTTGAAGATTTGAAATGCAAAGAAAGGTAATACTATACTTGGTTTCTAATCGAAACATCCAGCTTGGGATAGTTTGATCCTGGTATTGTTTTGAGTCCTCTAAGTAAGTTTGATATTGTGGTGTGGGAGTGGGTGGTGTGGTTTGTTAAAGGTGTTTAGAGTATGTGCAAGGGGAAGCTTATGCTTATGTCACAAAGCACAACTTAATTGAATGTTACAGAGGTTTAAGGTGCTTTGGTTTCACCGTCAATACTTTCCCACAGGCCATCTTTGTGCAAGGCTCTAGCTCTGTCACATTGCTGGGGCTTCCATTTCTCTCCTTACTCTGCCCTTGTCTTACTCTCTACAGGCTCATTTTTCCTTTCCTAATTTTGTTCTCTATTTCCCATAAAGCCAAAACCTATTTAAATAATTTTTAATATCTATTCAAGTAGAGAATCACCTATAAGCCATTTTTGCCTTTCATAACACCAAGAAACTAGCCATCCTTTGAAAATTAGTTTTGCTACTGGTGATTTTGAACTTTCTTAGTACAGTAAGTTGTTTTTCAACATCACTTGAGTTCTCTTAACACACATTAGTAAACTATGTGAAAGTTTTAACAAGTACCAACATTTTAAGGACACAAGTATATAGTACACTTACAAGTAACAGTCTGGTACAAAGCCTGTTTTCTTAATGGTAACTGGGGATGACCTCAGTTCCAACCATCCAAACCAGAACTGTGTGACACCTAGAGAGGACTCAGCTGATGTGATAGAATGGAGGTGGCACTGAATACAGACATCCAAAACAAATATTCAAGAGAATTGGCGTATCTTATGTATTCTATTAATTGTGGTAAGTAGCTATAAAAAATAATTATAATGAACTCTGATGAAGTCATCAGCCAGTTTTGACGTTTATTAACTTATGGCCAGATCGCCCACTTGACCCTGTTCCCAATATTTTAAATCAAGTTCAGTATTTTATATTTCATTGATAAGTATCTTAGTGTGTATATGTGTAGAATACTTCTTAAAAGTTAAAAATGTCTCCCTTAAAAATCTAGTCAAGGGGCCGGGAATGTAGCTCAGTGGCACAAAGCCTGCCTGGCCTTTGAGGCCCTGAGTTCAATTCCTGGTACCAAAACAAGCAAACAAATCTAGTCAATATTCAGATATCTCTGGTTGTCATGTAATTTTTTTTTCTAATAATAAGTATCAGGGATTGAACCCAGGAAATGCTAAGCTATTTTTTATTTTCAGACAGGATCTTGCTGAATTGCTAAGTTGTCCAGATTGGCATAAACCTTGCAGTCCTGCTGCCTCAGCCTCAGGGATTACAGACTTGCACTCTCATGGGCAGCTGTGTAGTTTGTTTTCAGTAGTTATTCACCAAAAGCAACATCTGCATGGAGTTTGCATTTTGCCATTGTGGATATGTCTATGAAATTTCTTTTAATTTGTAAACTTCCCCACTTTTTGTGTTTTCAATTTATTTATTTATTTGTTTGTCTTTTTAAGACAGGGTTTCACTGTGCAGTTCAGGCTGGCCTTGAGCTCACTTTGTAGCCCAGGCTGATCTCAAATTCGCAAGTATTCTTCTGCCTAGCCTCCTGAGTGCTGGGATTACAAATGTGCACCACCATGCCCAACTTGCAGTTTGTTTATTGAGGGAATTAAATCATTTAGCTTCTCATATTCTAGGTTTTTCTTCATTTTTATTTTATGGAAAAAAACCAATTCATAACAAAATAATAGAGTAACAAAAGTTAATACATTGAGTATGGATGCCTTTAAAGTTAGTTACTCAGAGTACACCATAGAGGCATAAAAAGTTCTCCGAACAATATTATTAGATCAGACTTTTTTTTTCAATGAACTAAGAGAAACTATTAATATAACTTACCTTGTATTATTTTTATTTTCTCTTCCTTTCTTCCTTTCCCCTTTTCCCTTTCCCCTATCCTAATTCCTTTTTCATTTTGAACAATTTCTTCCCATTTCACAATATCTGTTGTATATTTTGGATGCTATTTTTTCTAGGTTCTGTCTTTAAATGTCTCTTCTACCCTGTATTTCTGGCAGTGACAGATTTAGAATGTTGATCAAGTATTGCTGTTTATTTGGTTTAGAAACATGCCAAGTTTTGTTTTTAAATCTGCTATTTATTTTTGTAGCCCTAGGTGATGGCATTGCTCCGCCACAGAAAATTCTTTTTCCCTCGGAGAAGATTTGTCTTAAGTGGCAGCAAACTCACAGAGTTGGCGCTGGGCTTCAGAATTTGGGCAACACCTGTTTTGCCAATGCAGCTTTGCAGTGTTTGACATACACACCACCTCTCGCCAATTACATGTTATCACATGAGCACTCCAAGACATGTAAGTGTTGTGAACTGTGGTATGATAACCTATTCACTTCTTTTCGCTCTAAAATGAAAAGAATTAAGTTATGTGATGGTTAAACAGTTGGTTTATTCTTTTGGAATCTAGGATTTGTATTTAGCTTGCATAAGAAGCATATCCATCTCATTTGACCCGGGAGAATTTGAAAGGAAACCTACTTTATCTTCATTTCTAACCCCCTCCTAGTTTTCTATACTTACAAAAAAAGGTTTTGTTTTTGATTTCGTTGTGCTGGGAATTGAACCCAGGCTCTCACACATGCCAGGCAAGTGCTCTACTGCTGAGCTACACCCCTAGTTCTTACACTTTTAAAAATGTGACATGATATCTGACATTAACAGTTAGGACAAACAGGGTTAAGAAATCATGCCCCTCTGTCATTCATTGGAAGACTTCATTCATTTTCAGGCTTCAGAGCTCAAAAGGGAGAACTCTCCTTTTTTGCCCCCAACCTGGAAGAATTCATACAAAGCTTTCCTTTTAGCATTTGAGAGCTTAATCTTTAACCTACAGGCCAGAGAATCAGTTAAAATGTATGAGGATGTCTTTAAATAGAAGCCTGGTATTGACCAGTGAAATTAGAATTTAGAATGTTTTGTTTCTGAGATTTTTGACCATTTGTATATCCTGATTATCTGCCATTCTTTATAAATGAAGTCTCCCTATTCTTTGCTCTGAATTAGTACTCAGGTTTGTATGTATGCTCTGGTGCTATTTGTCAATGATCTGGATAAAACAAACTAAAGACCCCCTTAGTTTCTTCTTAAATAATTCTTTACTGAAAGGAGAATTTAAACTGATTATTTTACAGCTGTTTCATCTAAAGAGCAAAGTAAAATACTTGTAAAGTATTTGGCAAGTACAAAAAAACTTAAACTAAAAAAATCACCTAGAACCTCATTGTCTATAGGTATTTGCTACACCAGGGGCTTTAAATTATAGATTGAGCATTCTGTTTGCCCTCGGTTTCTAAGTCCATAATTCATTTCCCACAGATAGCTTTACTATCACTTTTGTGCTTAATGAAAGTAGAGTGTGGTTGAAAACCCAATTCTGGCACCTGGATGACAAGAGAAAGTGTGCATGTCCTGTATATATTTTGTCTTTTTAGATTTCCCCTTTTCCTTATTTTCCCATAAGGAGAATATATGTAATTCTCCTTATAAATTGCCCAGTTTTATTTGCTAATAGGTCCCATATCTGTTCAAGAGTTTTTTGTTTATTTTGCTTTTTTGTACTGTCTATCTGGTTTTGCTATTTTGTTTTAAATTGTAAATAGCATTTTATTTTTAATTTGATGTCTAATGCAGATCTTGCTGTAATATAGAGATACATTTGATTTCATTTGAAGTCATCATCATGTTGATCTTATACATTGTGACCTTGCTGAAGTCATTTATTAGCTATAGGCTATTTTGATTTTGTTTTTTGCATCAATTCTTGAAATTGTCTACATGCATAGACATATCGTATCATATACTAATCAGTAGAGTTGTACTTTATTGATCTGTTAGCTTTATTTATTCCCTTCTTTTATTTTCTTGTATCACTGGCTAGATCTTCCAGGACTCTTAGAATAAGAATGTTAAGAACAGACATCCTTGCTTCTCTTCAGATCTTAGGGGGAAAGCACTGAATTTGTTGCCTCCATTCCTATTTTTGTGATTCTTATTTTTTTTTATGGTGAGTGTATATTGATTTTTGTCAAATGATTTCTGCATCAAATTGATATGATCATGTGATATTTCTTCGTTAGTCTATTCATACAGTGAATTACATTGGTTTATTTTTCTGTTATCTCTGCATACCTGGAATAACCTCTAGTCATAGTGTGTAATTCTTCTTATAGATTGCCCAGTTTTATTTGCTAATAGTCCCATATCTGTTCAAGAGTTTTTTTGTTTGTTTATTTTGCTTTTCTGCACTGTCTTTATTTGATTTTGCTGCCAGGGTAAAATTCGCTATATAATTTTTTAATTATATTATAACTAATTTTTTGACTTTTTTTCTTTCTTTTTTTTTTTCCTAAAGATTTTATAGACTTGTTAGTTCTTTTTAAAATATTTAGAATTCTCCATTGCAACCATCTGGGCTTGAACATTTCCTTTTGGGAGTTTTAACAACATTGAATTCTCTTAGCAAGTATAAGACTACCAAAAATATTTTTTTTATATTGGATAATGTGTAATAGTTTGCTGTTTTGAGCAGTTGGTCCTTTTCTTCTAAATTTGTGTGTGTAAAGTATCCAGGATTCATTATCCTTTACTAATAATATCTCTAGTTTCTTTCCTGATACTGGTAATTGTTTCAGATTTCTCTTTCAGCACTACTTTGTGTCCATTAATTTTTTAATTCAATTCAGTGTACTTGTAAATTTCCCTTCATACTTATTCTTTAATCCTTGGATTATTTAGATATCTTTAGTTTTTAGTTACTTGAGATTTTCTTACTTTCTCTTACCGATGTTTAGTTTTGATTCCATTGTGAATAGAGGAGACAAATTTTTTCTTTTTTTTTTTAATTTTATTTTTAGTTCTGGGAATTAAACTGAGGATAGGTACTTATGCCACTGAGCTATATCCCTGGTCCTTAAGGCAAGTTTTTTGAGACCTCTGAAATGTGTATTCTGCTCTTGGTGGATGGGGTGTTCTATAAATGTTGGTTTGATTTGGTGACTGAGACTATTGTTGAATTCTTCAATATATTTTATGATTTTTCTGTTGAATTATTCAGTGAGTCATTGACTCAGAGAGATGTAGAGCTTTCCATCTCTAAATGTGGGTGTTCATTTGTCTCCTTTCTGTTTTGAGTTTGATGCATGTATTTTTCAGCTTTTTTGTTTAGTATAAATACACTTAAGATTGCTATGTCTGTCTTTTTTTTTCTTTTTTTTTTTTTATGGTTGTGCTGACAGTTGAACCCAGGGCCTTTACAGGCTAAGCAAGTGTTGTCCCACTGAGTGCCATACCAATCCTTTTCCAGTTTTGAAGTAGTTGTGCTAAGTTTCCAAGGCTGGGTTCAAATTTGTGATCCTCTCACTTATGCCTCCCAGATAGTTGGGCTCAGTGCCTCTACAACTTGTAGGATTGCTGTTTTCTTAATGTCTTGACCCTTAAATATATTATGCATCAGTTACATTAAATATATTATATTCCCTTCTCTGTACATTTTGTCCATCTGTGTCATTCATTCGTTCATTTGTATTGGAGATTGAACTCAGAGCCTTTGGTCTGCAGTCTAACTGTCTGACTTTAGCACAGACTTTCTTTCTTTGGTCTTTTTTTTTTTGAGAAATAGTTGTATAATGGATCTTTCTCACCTTTTCTCTTTCAGCCGGCCTGTAGGACTACATTTTAATTTGGTTTGTTACAGACAGCTTATGGTTGGATCATGTTTTTAATCCATTTTTTCAATCTATGTCATTTGTTTATTTATTACTGAGAACTGACCCAGGGCCTTTGCACTGAGCTATATCACCAACTTGTTTTCAATCCTTTATTTTGAACCAAGGTCTTACTAAGTTGTCTAGGCGGGGCTCTAACTTGTTATCTTTTGGCTTAGCTTCCCAGAGTGCAGGATTTACAGGTGTGCATACCACGTACCCCTAATCTGTGTCTTTTAATTGCTTTGTGAAGAACATTAGAGATGAGAATTCTTGATATACCAAGGTTAGTGTGTCATTTTATATTGTTTTTTGTCTTTTTTTTCCCATTTGCCTCTGTGGATTACTTAAATATTTTTTAGAGTACTACTTTTATTAGTGTTTTTGAGTGTAGTTCTTTGTGTAGCTATTTTAGTAGTTACTGTAGGTATTACATCACACATATATAATTTATCAGTCAGCTGGTATTGTCATTTTACCAGTTTGAGGAAAGTTTAGAAGTGTCTCTTTTTGTCCCTTTACTCTCTCTTAAGTTATAATTGTTTTAAAGATTTTTTTTCTATTTACACTTAGGTCAGGAAGTGTTACAATTTTTGTTTGAGGAATTTTGGGTTCTTGGTGCAGTGAAGGAGTTTTCATTTCATTCCTTGGTGTCTGCATTATATTATAGGACCCTGGGTCTATCAACCTCCGCTTTACCCAGCTTTTCTGACACTGCTCAGGCAGAGGAAGTGAGCTCAGGCTGAGGTAGAAGTCCAGGTTCTCTACCCGGCCTCTGTTGACTCAGAGTGGGGTTTGGGGCCCTTGCTGCTGTGGGTGAGAGTGGAAGTTGCATCTCTGCAGGGTCCCCACTGACGCTGCAGTGGGAGTAGCTTTGTTACCACACGGCAAGTCCTGACTGTGACCCTGAGGGATGGGGTTAGAGGGGACACCTCTGTGTTACTGGGTGAGGGTGGACGTGCTGGCTCCACATACCTTCACCTGCGTGGAGCTGGGGGGACCTACAGACACTGTGAGGAAAGTTCCAGCTCCTAATCCATTTCCCTTAGATCTGTGCCAGCGGGTGGGTTGGGTGCCTTAGAGCCTGGCAAGTGAAGTCCAGGCTCTCCACCAGGCCTCTGCAGGTGTGGGTAGAGCTGTAGTCACAGTACCCCTGCAGAGTGTGGCTGTTCTTTTATATAATGGTCAGTTAGGAACAGTTTCAGGTGGAGGCACAGGAGAGGCTTACAAAAAGTATATTTTAATGTATTTATAGGTCCTGAAGACAGCAGGCATGGTGTGCTACCTAGGGCCATGTAGAAAGACACTAGAGTACTTAAGAAGTAGAAGACAGGAATGAGAGGACAGCATTAGGGCAGAGCATTTCTTGAGGTTTCCACAGGCAAAGCAGGACAGGGTTAATCATTGGTGCCACTCATTTGAATAGTTCTGGTGGGTTCTAAGCCACAGAGGTGGTCCTTAGTTGCCTGGGACTCGGACATGGGCTGATTCATGCCCCCTGAGTATACAGGCCAGACAAAAGGGAGTATGGTTTTGTACTGTTACATTTGCGGAGCAAGGGTACACTCTTGGCTGAACCATTCCTTGTCTCTGAGAATTGGGAGGAGTGGTGTCTTCGCAGCCAGAAAGGTTTTTTTTAAGAGTGATAGTTAGGCTTTTAAAGATACAACATTTTGGGCAGGGGGCTGCATATGTACACACAAGAGATGGTGTAAAACAAGTTTTTCTAAATTTGTCTGTCACACTAGGCTGCACCTGCCTCATGCTTTGGTTGCATAGAACAGGCAGGCTTTCTGTGGGGGCTTTGTTCTGTGCATTTGTTGCTGACTACCTCAGTTCCAAGTCTGAAGTATTTGAGGCACAAAGAAAACTAGAGAAACTAACACCGTGACTTGGTGGAGTCCTGAGATACCTAGTATGTCTCTTTTTCTCTATACCTTTCAGTCTTTTTATGTTTGTTGACTACAGTTCCAAGGATTTTGTTGTTGTATGTGGAGAAGAAACAGGGAAAACTATTTCTGTTTCATCTTCCCAGATGTGGAAATCTCATCTTAGTGAAAGATACTGACATCATATTTTTTTTGTAATGCTTGAAAGATGTTACTACATGACCTGCTGGTCTGTCCTGTTCCTAATGAGAAGTCTATTGTCAATTTTTCCTTCCTTTCTATATGGAAGGTTTTTTTGTTGGGGGAGAAGTAGAGTTCCAGGAATCGAACTGAGGACCTTGCACTTGCCTGGCGGTGCTTATGCCTCTGAGCTATATTCCTGACCCCTGGCATGTTTTAAAAATTTTTTTTACTGCTTTTAATGTTTCATCACTCATCTTAGGCAGTTGTACTTGGGATTTATTGAGGTTCTTAAATCTGTGAATATACTATTCTCATGAAATTAGAACAACTTTTGATCATTAAAAAAACATTTCACAGAATAAAATAACTGTTTTGTATGTGAAGTTCTTTGAGCTTAAACACATGTATAGCATTCATGTAAACCACCGCATCACCTTAGTCAAAATACATAATTACTGAATCACCTTCAGAATCTCCCTTTTTCTGATCTTTTGTAGATAAGTATTTCTGACATATTTGTTCCATCTCTTTACTTTCAGACTGCAATTAAATGCATATCACAGACAACTTGAAATTTTCCCACAGCTCACTGATACACTTCCATTTTGTTACTATTATTTTAAAGTTTCTTTTTTCTCCTGATGTAGTATGGGTGTCTTCTATCCATAATGAATGTCTTCAGATTCACTGATGTTTTCTTGTATGGTGTCTGATCTGTTATTAATCCTCTGTAGTATATTTTTCATCTCAGAGATTCTCATTTTCATTCAACAATTCTGCATTGTTGGATTTAGATAACTATATTTAGTTTGATTCTTTCAAGGATTTTAAAGCTTTATTGGTAAGTTCCGAACAACTTTTGTCTAGGCAGAACCTATTGATATTTGGGCGTGGGTAATTCTTTACTGTAAGGGGATATCTTATACTTTGCAAGACATTTAGTAGTACTCCTGGCCTCTAACCACTAATTGCTGATAATGCCACGAGCGTGAACTAACAGTGATTCATTATGTTTTTTTTTTTTTAAAGAGAATAAAACAAAACAGAAACAGAACAAAGCAAATCAGAACAGAATAATGCAGGCAGCACAGCACCTCCAACAAGACAACCGGATGTCAGCAGTAGCTACCATAATGTTTTTTTTCTTTGAAATAGTTGAGTAGGATTCATTTTTCAAAGACTGTTTTTAAAATGAAGAAAAAAGTGTAGTAGAGATCCTAACATGTTTCCAGGAAAGCCATAATGTTAAAATATGTAGATATTTCTAACTCCTGTTATGGGAGACATCCTTTCACCATTGAAACTAATGGCAGTATTAAAAAAATGTTATTTTCCAGTATAGAGTCACTAAGACCACAATGTTTGAAATTAAGTCCAACTTTGTAACATTGGGCAGTTTTTTAACTCTGAGCCTGTTTTCCTCTAGTGAACTATAGCCAATATATACTTATCATTTAGGTTTTTTAGAGAATGAAATGAAAATAGAAGTAGATAGGTCAGTACATACACCTTGCAGCTGCTACTGTTGTTTTACTTCAGGAATGTGCTTTTCATTTATGATTTACTGCCTAGTTGTATTTTGCTAATGTGGGACATTGTCATGTATCTTTCAGGTCATGCAGAAGGATTTTGTATGATGTGTACAATGCAAGCGCATATTACCCAGGCACTCAGTAATCCTGGGGATGTTATTAAACCCATGTTTGTTATCAATGAAATGCAACGTAAGTATCAACCAGAGAAGTATTTTTTAGCAAAGTAGTCTTTTCCTTGGGTGAGGGATACTATTATTGCCCAAGCGATCTCTACCTCAGCTTCCTGGGTAATCGGGACTGCAGGCATGCACTGTCATGTCTGGCTTTTAGCTGGTTAGTCTTAATGGCTTAGATGGTTTAAAAAAAAAAAGCCCAAAGTTTATTGCAAAATAAACCACATGTATTTTATTATATGTGGATATGTCTTTAATGAGTAACAGATGTTTAGTAAAACATTTATTATATAAACTTTTTAAAATTTTAAAGAGATGACAATGCAATGAAGATGATTATATTTAGTTTAATAAAAGCAAATTTTAAATGGTTAAAACTCAGCCTGTTAACAAAATGGTTTTAGAGAACTTTTCTCATATAGCTTGATTTCTGCGCTGAGTGGTCTCACTCTGACATTGTCCCACAGGTTTCAGGAAGTGGTTTATAGTCAGTTTTAGTTTGGTAAATTAATCCTGTGTTATACATAGTGATAAGAATTGTCAAAATAAAGGTAATTATACTCTCAAATAAAAATTTATAGCAATAGTATAACTATGAACAAACTTTACTTTTTTCATTTTTTTGAGACTGGGTCTCACTATGTAGTAGAGTCTGGCCTTGAACTTACGATGATCCTCCTGCCCTAACCTCCCATCTATTTAATTTTAAATTTCTAAATAGGTTGCGTGAAATTTTCTTAAGTATTTTCTATGTACTTACCCTCTTCCTTCCCTTCATTAAGGGTCTCACTATTAAGCCCAGGGTGGCCTCAAACTTAAGATCCTCCTCTTCCAGTCTGGGATTACAGGCTTGCACCACCACACCAAGCTCTGGGTGCTTTTGGCATTTACCAAGATGTAATAAAAATGTGTATGAACATAAACCTCTTTTCGTTTTCTTTTCTTTTTTTTTTTTAAGTACCAAGATTGAACCCATGACTTCTTGCTTGCTAGGCAGGCACTTGTGTCACTAAGCTATGTCCCCAGCCCTCTACTCTTAATTTGGTATCTAGCTTGGTAATTATAGGGACGCATAGTTTTACTGTGATAAGCTATAATCCTTTTGCTTTAAAAGCTGCTAAAGGTTAAATTGGCCTTTGGAATTGATTAACCAGAGCAAGGAGTGCAAAAGTCTTTAAACATATTGGGTTCTGACAAAATTTTAGTCAGGGCAGATTTTGATTATTTTGATGATTTATACATTTATTTTCAGACACATACATAGCAGGCATGAATAGTCTTTAGGCATAGTCTTTAGGAAAGTGTCATTGCTTTGAATGTGTGTATATATACACACATACTGTTGAATCATAGGATAGCTATTTTTATAGGTCAAAACTGGTGGAATATTGGCAATTTTATATGATTTAAGCTATATATGTGTGTGTGTAAATATATTCCTACACATATAAAAGTCAGTGTCTAATATGTTTTGTGCTGTTCATATACTTGTGCTAGTGTTTATTTATAATTTTTAAAACTTTTTGCAACTGCGTAGTCATTTAGAAGCATTGAAATGAGAATATAATTTGTTCTGTGGCTATTGGTACAGGATTGAATAGGTTGGATATTTATGTTCTGCATAGAGTGTTTTATGGATTTGAGTGTCATATTTACAGTGAGTGCACTAATGTAACATTTTGGATGAACTTGAGACAATAGAACTGATGTTGACTTTATTCAAGTGGAATTGTGTTAACTTGGTAAAGAGTTATTCTGTGGCTGCTCCTGGACTCTCAGGAACTGCATCTCCTATGGGCTTTTGATGAAAGTGCGTGGTGCTTGTGTTAGTGCTTCTTGCTTATTAAGTGTAATTATTTAAAGATTTTCTGAGTAACATAAAATGTAACTTGGCAGCCTGCACATTTAATATGTAATGATAAGGCCTTGTCTTTACTTAAAATTTATAGGTATAGCTAGGCACTTCCGTTTTGGAAACCAAGAAGATGCTCATGAGTTTCTCCAGTACACTGTTGATGCTATGCAGAAAGCATGTTTAAATGGCAGCAATAAGTGAGTACAAGTCATTTCTTCAGTTTACATCTCTGCTTATAATGCTTGTTTTGCCTTTCATGTTAAAAGTACATAAATCTGTTTGCTTTTCCTTTTGGCTTGCATTGCCTCTTCTTCACCTATTTGCATTATTTTAAAATGACTAAAATTTAAAAAGATGTACTTATCACAGTTTCAATTTGTCCAATTATAGATGCCAGGAAATGAGCATTGGTTTTGCTACTCTTTAATTTCTGAGTGTCAGGATGCCTTGGCATACTAAAAGTACCCGCTGTTTCTCCTTTATAATTGGGCCAGATATTTTCTCTGTTGACCATCGGCCTTGTAGATATGTTTGCTGCCTTCTTGCTTGTGTCCACTGTCTGTCAGTACCACTTCCTGTAGCTTTTTCCTAAAATCTAAATGCAGACTCAAGAGATGGATGGGCAAGACAGTTATGTAACACTCCTAACCCACCTGCTACTGCCCACACACCTGGCACAGATAGCTCCCTTTGCATTCCACTCACTGTCCAGGGCTGGATGATGTTAGACTCTGCCTTCTCTACCTTCCCATATCCCACCTGGGGTCACAAGCATGTTGAGATTATCTTCTTACTGCTTTGTTTCTGAACCAAACTCCTGCTTTGATTTCAAAGTCTCTTCATAATTTAGTTCCTTCCATCCTCTTCCCCAAATCCTCATTTGTGTTCTTCCAGGCAGGTCTGTTCTGGGGACCACGCAGACTGATTTTTTACTTTTTGTAGATCTCCTCTCTAAATTCATTTTTTTTGGGGGGGGGAGGGGTCCCGGGGATTGAATGCACAACCTCATGTTTGTCAAGCAGGCACTTACGCCACTGAGCTTTTAGCTTAGCCCTGGCCTCTCTGAATTCTTATTATTTATAATTACACATAACTTTTAAAATCTAGTCATGACATCCATAATTTTGCAGAATTCTTGTATCTCTTTTTTTGTCTTTTTCAGATTAGATAGACACACTCAAGCCACTACACTTGTTTGTCAGATATTTGGAGGATATCTAAGATCTAGAGGTAAGTTTTTGTTCACAAGTTTATAAAGTGACAGATGCATGTGATATTAGAATGCAAATAATAGAAATAAGGAAAATCAGAGACTCCTTCCTCCTCCTCAGAGATAGCCCCTTTACCAGTTTAAAGCATATTCTTCTGAAAGTTTCTTGTGCATGGGCACACTGAGAGCCACCTATAGAATATTTGTGCTTTTCCCTTAACATTAGTAGTAATCTTTCATTTTCAGTACATATAGGTCTGACAGGTTTATTCATAGCTGGAATAGTGTCTATTTGTTTTACTTTCCTGTTGATGGATACTTAGCTTTGTTTTCTGCTGTTACCATCAATGCCTTATTGAGCACTAATGTACTCAAGCTTTTGTGTGTGTGTAAAAGTGTACATGATAAACTGTTTTAGTATCAGAATTTAAGTTGTAAGATGTATTTTAGATTTTCATCCTGACATTGTCGTTCTAAAAGGTCATACCTGTTTATATTCCATTCATTAGTGTAGGAGGGACCAGATTTATGAGACATTTTTCCTATACCGTGTATAAGATTAACTTTTTCCCAATCTAGTAGAAAAAAAATTAAACTATTTCGATTTTTTTTTAACTTTTAAATTGTATTTGTATTCTTTAATTTCAGTATGTACGGCTGCCATACTGATTACACTTTGCTTATCTTTTGCATTTTATTTTTATTTCAGTCAAATGTTTAAATTGCAAGGGAGTTTCAGATACTTTTGATCCATATCTTGACATTACATTGGAGATAAAGGTAAATTTAATAATTTTTGTGGTGGTCAGGTTTTAAATCTTTTTTACTCGTTGACTTGTACTTAGTAATTCTTAATAAAACTGAGTTTTGAAACCTGTGTTAGCAAACCCTAAATGATTTTTATTCATTAGAAATTATTTTATCATCTTGCATTTTTTGAACTATATTTCTGTTCTTTAGGTTTTATTTTTCTGATCACTGATGTAATGCATGCTTATGATGAAAAGGACAAACTGCACATAATATATAAAGGCTGCCCTTCAGCATTGGTGCATTTAGTCATTTGATATACATTGCAGTGGAATAGGTTAAATACTTCTAATAGAAATGAGATTATGAGCAGGGCATGGTGGTGCATGTCTATGATGCCAGGACTCTGGGAAGCTGAGGCAGGAGGATCACAAGTTTGAACCCAAACTGGGCAACTTAGTGAGACCCTGTTAAAATAAAAATAAGAAAGGGCCTGGGAATATAGCTCAGTATGAAGGCCCTGGATTCGATTTCCAGTATTGCAAAAAAGAAGAAAAGAAATTTTTTACAAAAGGAATTATGTCATAGTCTATTTGTCTACTTGTCATTTTCATTTCCATCTATTTGGAGACTTTCCACATCAGTGTGTTTGGGCAGTTGGTGGTGGTCCAGTAGGTGAATATAGCTTCTTATTGCTTTCCACTTTACAGTATTCTGGGTAAAGCTGTATGAGCCACCTCCTTATATATTTTTATTCACTTTAACCTGCTAATTTTTAAGTGGAGAGGAGGTAATCATCCTAGAGGAAATCTTTTGTTTGTTTGTTTGTTTCCAGCATTGTGGGATTGAACCCAGGGCCATCTGCCAGTTATCCACATTCCTGGTCCATTTAAAAAATTTTTGAGATTGGATCTAAGTTGGTCAGGTTGGACCCAAATTTGCGGTCCTGCCTCTGTCTCCCAAGTAGCTGGAAACACACACCATTCCCATAAAAGTGGTTTTTTAAAAACAAAGATTCTCTGAGTCTTTGCTTGCTTGCTTGCTCTGTCTATCTCTTACAAATTGTGACTGTTCGTGGTGATGTGGTATTTGTTCTTTTTCCTCCCAGGCTGCTCCGAGTGTTAACAAGGCATTGGAGCAATTTGTGAAGCCAGAACAACTGGATGGAGAAAACTCCTACAAGTGTAGCAAGTATGATGGGGGTGACTTGCAGTCCCTGACTTGGCTGCTCCAGTTGGGGTGACAGGGAGCCTTGATTTTAAAGAGCGGGACGTGTTTGAATGGCCGCTAGGTGGCCTTAGCTTCTGTGCCACCTGTGCTCCAGAGGCCAGAACATGCGGCGTCTAGTGCCCGCAGTGCCTCAGGATGGACGGCTCAGTGGCCTTGAGGAACTAGTGCTGCCACCTGGGTGCTGCAGTGCTGCGACAGTGTTAAGCAACATTTTCCATGACTTTCCTGTTAGACAAGACTGCAGGGAGGGTGGGGGTCATCTGCACCCCAAAAAGAGTTGAGTATCTTTTTTTCTTTTTCTTTTCTTTCATTTATTTTATTTATTTATTTTTGAGGATCTTTCTTACAGTGGGTACCCATAGTGTGGAATAGTATCTGTTAGCAACCTTTAATTTACATTATTCAGTGATACATTTCTGTAGGCAGTCTAGGGAGTCTGTTTTAAGAATCCTTGCTACATATGTTTTAAGTAATTTCCACTTTATAGCCAGGCTATATAGCTATGTATCTTAAGCTTTTATAGTAAATATTTAGTATTTAAGGCAAGATAGTGCTTTTTTCACCAAAACTAGGAATATTTCCTAGTTTTCTTTTCCCTTTTGAATATGTGTAGGGCTGTGCTTTTGTAGAATCATACCAGCCTGAAAAATCAATGAGCTTTCAGTTTTTTAAGATTGAATTAACCTAGTATTTTTTTTTTTTTTTTTTTTGCATTGCTGGGGATTGAACTGAGAGCTTTATGGATGGTAGGCAAGCATTCCACCTCTGAGCTACCCAACCCAAGTTAATCTGTTTTTCAAATCATTGATGCCTTGTGTATCTTGATATTTCAGATTTGCCCTTTTTTTTCTATCATGCTACTAGGCAGTTTTCCCCAGTACTGTTTTTTATTTTGGCTTAGGGTTGGTTTTTGAGACAGGGTCTATCATTGTTTTTCATGGTTATCTGGAACTCATTGTGTAGTTAGGGGTGGCCTAGACTTCATGGTGTTCCTCCTGCCTCAGCCTCCTGCAAGTTGGTAGTACAGATGTGTCCATCTGGCTACCCACAGTATTTTTAATTTAAATATTTTCACTGTTGGTTTAGAGAAGAGTGATGTTTCTCATCTATAATCCTTGTTTTGGAATCTTAAATTAGGGTTTTTTAGAAAAATAGCAAGGGAAAGACTAAAACCCCCCAAAATTCACACATTAATCTTTTGTCCTTGTTTACTTGAAGGTGCAAAAAGATGGTTCCAGCTTCAAAGAGATTTACCATACATAGATCATCTAATGTTCTTACACTTTCTCTGAAACGCTTTGCAAATTCTACTGGAGGAAAAATTGCTAAGGTATGTAGATAATGTTATTAATTACTTTTTATGTAGAACCATAAGTGCCAGTAGCTGTTAAAGATTACAAATAACCTAATTGAAAAATGTCAATTAGAGATGACATTCCTTTCGCCTTTTCCCATTTTTGTTTAGGATGTGAAATACCCTGAGTATCTTGATATTCGGCCATATATGTCTCAACCAAATGGAGAACCCATCATTTATGTTTTGTATGCAGTGCTGGTCCACACAGGATTTAACTGCCATGCAGGCCATTACTTCTGTTACATAAAAGTAAGCCATGTAGAATTTTGCTTGTCGCTTTTACGTAGACTCTGTAAGACAGCAAGCTCTAGTATTCTTTGGGGGGGAAGGTAGGAATTTTACAATTAAAGTGTGAATGCTTCTTTTTCTTATTCTTTTTATTCTGTCCTTGTTAACCTAACATAATCTCATCTTTCTCTCTCATTGACTGTCTTTTGCAGGCTAGCAATGGCCTGTGGTATCAAATGAATGACTCCATTGTGTCTACTAGTGATATTAGATCGGTACTCAGCCAACAAGCATATGTGCTCTTTTATATCAGGTATTGTCATGAAAACAAGTTGTCACATTTTCTGTAATGTTATTTCTTTTCATTTCACTCACATTCAAATGTTTTGAGTTATTTTTCGAAAGTCAGAGTTTAAGGTTTACCCTGCCACATGTGTAGAAAATCAGGAGACCAGTTTTATGTATGATTATGAGCTTGAGCTAGCTTCCAGTGCCGACAGACACAGAGGAAGAGAAAGGTGACAACTGAAGGGGTGGGATGGCTTATGCTGCCTGCAATAAACAGAGCAGACCTGAGAATGTGGAAGCCCAGGGTGGAGGATTTGGGAAGGTGGACTGAGTACCCTGCATGGTCCATCCAGCACCTCCCCAGTGCTGAGCACAGTTCTGGTTAGGCATCGCCCTGGGCTTGGACCAGCAGTTGGGTTGATCTTGTTGCAGCTGCAAATTGATTTACAAATTCCACTTTTGGGAAAAAGAGTCTGATGGATACTCCATGGCATTCCTGCCCCCACCCCCTTTTTCTGTCTATCTGGGAATAGAACCTAGAGCCTTGAGCACACTAGGCAAATGCTACAATTGAGCCACACCACAGCCCCCAAGGAGTCACTTTTACGTATGATAAAGTCAAGAATACCCTAAAATGTTTGACCATGACAGAATGATGTGTTGAAATGTTTTGCAGTTGTTAAGAGTGATTTTTTTTGAGACAGTGTCATGCTTTGCTGCCCATTGTCTGCTAAGAGTGACAAACCTTTTTTTTAATTCTTTGGAAACGTGGTGACTATAGAGGGAAAGTAGTTTGAAATGTTAAACACTGTTGTTGAGTGAAAGACATGGAGATGATCTATTATATCAATAGGTGAACCATCTCTGAGGGAACGACATTTTCTTTTCCTATTTTTCTGGACAGTATAGGTTTTCTATAGTAGTATGTATTTTTAACTTAAAAATACAAACAGAAAAAATAGCCCTCCAGTAGCAGCATCCTCAGCATACAGAGTTTAAAAATACTGTTTCCTTACCCTTCCTTTACCACAGCTGCCCTCGTATCCTGAGCTGAGCACCTTGACATTGACTTATACCCCTAAAGCAGCTAGTGCATCTGTGTCTTAGTTTCTGTGCACTGTGACTTAGAAGCAATTTCTTTGTCATCAGTTTCTTTCAGAGGAACTGAATTTGTAATCAGTCTGTATTAAGATGCTCTTCATCATCTGAAGCCCTCTCATTCTTTTTCTCCAGGTCCCATGATGTGAAAAATGGAGGTGAACTTACTCATTCCACCCATAGTCCTGGCCAGTCCTCTCCCCGCCCAGTCATTAGTCAGCGGGTTGTCAGCAACAAGCAGGCTGCATCAGGGTTTATTGGACCACAGCTTCCCTCCCACATGATGAAGGTAACACTTAAGGAGTGTCATCTGATTTTTACCTTGCTCTAATGGCCTATTCTCAAACCCTTAAGCTAACATTGCAGTGGTTGTCATGTCTTGTCTATACATGGATTTCTTGTCAAAAATTTTTATGCAGGCCCTTTATTTCAAAATATTAAATATATGGGAATCTGCATGAATAGCATAATTGAGAGGAACACCTGGTGTGAATATATTAAAGGTTAGCACCCACTGTGGACTTGGCCTCTATTCAGGGGTCAGATAGTTTTTAACTTATGTTAGATATCAGGAAAGTGATCCTGTTGCAAGGTCTCTTTGTGTCCATGTAGCTGTCTGAGGAGTGTGCTATTTTTCTATCTTCTGTCCCCAGGAGTATGATCATGCACATGTGCTTGTGTGCTCAAGAGGCCTGATGCAATCTGCAGGGCAGGGCCCGCCTTTCAGAGTTCCCAAGACATCATGCTCAGTTGGAATTGTGTTAATTCATTGCTGCTGTTAGGGTTTACAGCTTCTTAGTTTTAGTTTGGTTTGAATTATCAGATTATCTAGTTGAATGCTTTCTTTTTTTTTTGTAGACATTGAGCTGTATTTCAGTTAAATACCTTTGTGAGCTTGGCTGATAGCTAGCTTCTGAATTGGGCTCTGCTTCAGAGTGACATCGGGGGACTGGCACACCAGAAAGTATGCTCCTAGGGAAAGGGGCAGGTGTAATTGACTTTTTAAGAGCTGTTTGGTTTTTTAAAGACCACAGTGAATTCAGAGATTTAATAAAACACCGCCAGGCCAAACACCATTTGTCTGTGAACCAGCTGTCCCCTGTGTTGTCACAGGGCTTCAGTGGTAGTCATGGAACTTGGAGCAACAGAGCTGCACGAGTACAATGCTGAGGCATCACTGGGCGGCGGCGGCAGCCGTGACCTCACATGCAGTCCTGAAGCGGCCTTTCCTTCTGCCAGTGTGCTTTCTCCCTTGCTTGAAGGCCAGAATGCTGGCTTTACTTTTGTCTGTATAGTGGTGGCCTCTGAGGAAAGCCAGCCAAGGAGAGCATATGTTAACTCATGTCAGGAGAGCTGTGTTCTGACAAATAATGTGTGTCTGTATGTGGATTAATTTCCAGAAAACTAGGTCCTGTGAAAGTACACATGGGTAGAGCAGATGAAAGAAAGGGGCAGTGTTATTTGTGTAACTTGTCAGTCACAAGAGCAAAGAGGGAAGACTGAGGGCCAGAGCAGGCCGATTCTGCAGTGCTGACCCGGCTGTGGCTTTCTCCCTTGCAGAATTCACCTCACTTGAATGGAACTGGGCCACCGAAAGACACGCCGAGCAGTTCCATGTCGAGTCCTAATGGAAGTCCCAGTGTCAACAGGCCTAATCCTGTTAATGCTTCTGCTTCTGTTCAAAACTGGTCAGTTAACAGGCCCTCTGTGATTCCAGAACACCCTAAGAAACAAAAAATCACTATCAGTATTCATAACAAGTTGCCTGTTCGCCAAGCTCAATCTCAACCTAACCATCATAGCAACTCCTTAGAGGGCCCTAACAAGCCTGTTCCTCCTTCTACTGTCACCAACTGTTCTGCGATACAGTCTACCTCGAATACATCCGCAATGTCAGTTTCTAGTAAACTAGCAAAACCGCTCTCCCCGAGCAAGTCCTGTTCCAAGCCAGTGATGAATGGCAAGTCCAAGGTGAGCTCCAGTGTGTTGGTCCCTTACGGCGCCGAGTCATCTGAAGAATCTGATGAGGAGTCCAAGGGCCTAGCCAAGGAGAATGGCATGGGCAGAATAGCCACTACTCATGCTACTGGCCACGAAGCTGAAGAGGATGAGGCCCCATCACATGAGCTTCAAGAACCTATCACTCTAAATGGTGCTAATAGTACAGACAGTGACCCCAAAGAAAATGGCCTGTCATTCGAAGGTTCTAGTTGCCAAGTTCAGCCTGCTTTACACTCAGAAAATCCCTTTTCTAAAGCAAACGGTCTTCCTGCAAAGGTGAGTTGGGGGGGGGAAGTTTGGCTTTGAGGCTAATCTTGGCTCCTTCTCTCAGCCAGCTTTCAGTCACCATGGAGCTCAAAGCCAGTTGAAATGTCTTTGTTTTTTATTGTAGTTAATACCTGCATCTTTGCCATCTCTTCCGGAAGACAAAATCTTAGAGACCTTCAAACTTAGCAACAAAGTAAAAGGATCAACAGATGAAACAAGGTAAAGTAAGAATTAATTCCAAGAAAGTGAATGTCAGAGTATAAAACCCAACAGTGAGTGGACGTGTCAGTGTTTTCTCTGTAAAAGTATTACTGTGAACATCCTGAGCCACCAGATGATTTGAAAAATAACCTACAGGATATGTCAGTTTGCCTTTGAGGAGAGTGAGAAAGCTGTCTGTGACTGCTTGTCATTTTCGTCTGCATCACCTGCCCTGGCCAGCAGTGCCCTTGCACACCTCTGAATCCGACCCCACGTGCTTTCTCATTTCATCTTTTTAATGATGAATGAGTATGTGAAGGGCAAACTGAGTTTGGAGAAAACAGGGTCCCATAATGAAACAGATACTTTGTGAGGGCCTCTTTATAAATTTGAAATGAAATTCATAGAGAATTTAATTTGTCCCGACATTCAGTTTTAAGAAAAATAAATAAATTGACCTATCTGTAAGATAACTCGAATAAGAAGAAAGGAATTTGAAGTGCAGCTGCAGTTGCTTGGTGTGGAAACTGCAGGTGAAACCACTGCTGAGGGAGTGCAGTGCATCCCGGGCTTCCACTGCCTGCCTGCAGGTTTCTGGTGTGATCATTCGGAATACTGCATTCAGATTGCCTTCTGCACTGTCGGCTGTTGTGGTGAACAGCTTTCAGTGAAATTTCAGATGTATCACACTGTGATCATTTCTTATACAGTTGTTGGATACCTGGGGAGTGTAGTGTCCGTGAAAACTGTGGCAGTAACACGACTGGCATTTTCACCCATGGGTGTGAGGACGTGCAGGGGAGGAGCCTCCTCCTGGCACTGCGCAGCCCAGATGGCCCCTGAGACCCTGAGTCAGGGTGCAGAAGTGTTAAGAGTGAAGAGGCAGAGCACGCTCACTCCCACTTGACCTTAAGATAGAGCAGCGGGGCTGCGCTGTCATTTCACAGTGGCTTTACCCTTGTTTCTTTACTAATCCATTGTAGGCGTTTTATTGTTTCCTACAACTATCAGTTACTCTTGAGAGTGTGTGAGAAGCTGACTTTCAGCTAGCAAAGGGTGGCCCACATTTTCTACAGGTTTTCTCAGAGTCCCAGTGAGTCCATTTTTAATTATTGAAGGAACTGTTGGCTCTGTTTGGAAATAGCTGCTCTGAGATGCTAAGAGAAAGAAGGGAACAAGGAAAGCCAGCAGCCCATTGTCATGTGGCTTTTTTTGTTTAGACTTAGTTCTTAAGAATTAGAAATTTACCTGGAAACAGGAAGTCTATAGCTGCAAAATTATTGTTGCTGAAAAGTAGGGTTGGTAAAATTGTTATTTAATAAAGAGAAAATTGGGTGTCCAGAGACAGTAGCCTGATATTGACTTTAAGCCAGCTATATTTAAGATGATAAAAGATTTAGTAAACATAAGCCATGACATGCTAACTATTGGCTTTGTCTTTCTTTTGGCCGGGATGCAGTCCACCTGGAACAGAGCAAAGTCAGTCACGGGACCTTGCTGTGGAGCTTGAGGCTGGCAGTGTCACTGCTGGTTCCCATGAGAAACTGGACCCGATCTCAAGTCTATGCAGCAAGTTCAAGAAAGCTTTGCTTTCTCCCGACAGCAGTCTTAAATCTACCAAAGAAGTTGTCTCAGAAAATAGTTCAGCCAAACCTGATGAGTCTTTGCCCATTGTAAACAACCTTTGTAATAATGACAAAACCAGTACAGGGTCTGATCCACTTCCTGAACCCTGTGACACTGAAAACTTAACACACAACTGCAGTGAAACTCCCCAGGAGGTCAAAGCATTGTTAACTGAGAGTCTGCAGGATTCTGGTCCAGCAGAAACAGTGAAGCAGCTGAGCCCAGCTCCCCCCACACATTTAGAAGGTGCACATGAGTCCGAGCTTTTAGTTTACCTTAGCAGAGACCATTGTGGTGATACAGAAACCCCATCCCGAAGCACAGGTGAATCTGCCGACACGCTGCCCTCTGCTCAGCCACCCAGGACCCCAGTCGCCCATCCCGATGGCCCTGAGCACAGTCATGGGGAGAGGTGTGGTGAAGGTAAGGCCAGCCAGAAAGTTCCAGATCACCCTCCGGTTAAAGAGAAAATCAGCAGCCTTAGGAAAGTTGACCGAGGACATTACCGAAACCGGCGAGACCGCTCCTCCAGTGGGGAACATGTGCAGAAAAGTCGGAGTCGGAGTCGGAGTAGGACTGAGGGTCATTGTCACAGAAAGCGGCACTCGTATGCCAGAAAGCACAGCAAGCAGGAATGCCATGCTGTGGAACACTGTAACGGGAGCCGGCACCCTCTGTGTTATGGTGAGAGAGTCAGTCCCGGTGAGCGTCGCAGTCTGAGCAGGTACAGCTACCACCACTCCCGAACCAGGAGCGGGACTGACCAAGACTGGAGCCGATACTACCCCTTGGACAATGAGCACTCCTGGCTCCCAGAGAAGTACTATGCTGAGAAGATGCGGTGGGACCGGTGCAGGTACTACCCCGATAGGTACGCCCCGTACACAGGCAGGGAGCCCAGTGTGAAGCGGCCACACAAGGACTCCTCCCGGGCCAGGAAGGGCTGGGAGCCTCCTGCCCGGGTGAGGGAGCGGACCCACTTCCACAGCCCACGCACAGGTGCCGCACCCCCTTTCCCTCTGCACCCTGAGCGCTACCCCCAAGAAAAGGCTGCCTTTGGAGCTGATGACAGTGGCTGTGGCCTCTCTGATCGATTTCATGAACATGAAAGCATGAAGTCACGCAAACATAGGTACGAGAGTGCAGAAAGTAGCGACAGTCACGTGGAAAAGAAAACCCACAGGAGCCTGCCCAAAGACTTGGAGGAGCCTAAGGCAAAGAAGCGCAAAAAATCAAAGAAGAAAAAGAAATCTAAAGACAAACACCAGGAACGTGACTACAGGTGAGGGCGGGCTCTTCCAGCAAGATCTGAATTCCTCAGCTGCGTGGGTTTTAAGGCTTAAGTTTCCATACATTTTTAAAATGGTGCAACTTTTAAGCTCTGTCTTACTTCATGTATCTTAAAATGTGTCTCTTTGCCAGTCTCAGTTTTATAACTTTTAGGAGTAAATGTGAGTTCTGTAAAAGTAACTTCAGGCTCTCTGATTTCAAGATTGGTTGTCAGATGTAGTTACATTTTTGTATGTTACATTTTTTTTCTTCCAAATTCAGTGACTACACAATTGGCAGAAAATGGGAGGCTACAATTCTGTTGATATTTGTCTGCACGTCTAGAGTGGAGGTCTGAGGGGCATCATTTATTTTCTTGGCCTTTATCTCTTAATTATCAATATAAAACCTGAATGACTGTATTTTTGAAATGCTAAATATGGTCACAAAATTTTTTTTCCTGGTGTTTGGGGTGAAACCTAGAGTTACGTCCACAAGGCAAGTGCTCTGACAGCTGCCTTGAAACTGATTGGCTCGTAACAAGATGAGTGAGCATCAGTGGAATTCCTCTGTATTCTAGTTGATTTCTTTTAAAATTAAAAATCCTAATAGAAGGTTGTCAAAGCCATATGTGAATAGGCAGTGGTTACTTTGGAGGAAAAGGAAGTTAAATAACAAGGCTCTTCTGTGCCTGAGACACATGGCAAAATGTCCTTTGTTTCTTTTTTTTTCTTTCAGCCACTGATTTCAGGAGATGTCACTTAAGTCTTCCTAGCCGTGTCCTGTCTGACAGCCCCAATTCCTGAGCACAGAGCCTGTGTGGGAGAACTAGGGGTGGAGTTGAAGTTGGCAAAATTATGATCTTGGGCTTTTAAAATTACTACAGCTGAAAGTAGAGAACCCATTTTTAACTAGATAAGCATTTACCTGTGCCTCTATGTTGAGCATCCTCATAATTGGTCACGATAGTGCCAGGTCCTGTCTGAGGTGGTGCTGGTGTTTGGGTTGCTAATTTCTGGCTGCTGCTTCTGCAGGCATCAGCTGGATCCAGATCTTCCAGTAGTGTACTCTGATGCTGATCTCCACAGACACAAAAAGAAGAAAAAGAAAAAGAAGAGGCACTCAGGGAAATCAGAAGACTTTGCAAAAGAACCAGGACTGCACTCACCGAAGGCCTCAAGCTATGAGACTGTTGACCATTTCCGGAGACCTGAGGGCAGTTTCCTGCTCACTGATGGCCTGGCTGTGGAGGGCATTGGATCTTTCCGAAAGAAAACAAAGCATTTAAGGATGGAGAGCAGGGCCGACAGGTGCCACCTGTTGGAGTATGGCCAGGGTAAGAGGCGATTCGTGGAATTAAGAAGAGACAAACTCTTTTGATAAGTTTTTTTGGAAATGGCAATTAACATATGGAGATGGAACCTCAAGTGGCTTGAAAGGGTGCGCGAGTAATACAAGGTTCCTGCCTCTTCCACCTCGACTCACAAGCCCTGTGTGATTCATTGTCCCTGTGTAGTATGGATGCTTGACACTGATCCCTAGCACTGAAGGATGGTTACATGGAACTGGAATTTATGACCCTTGGAATTTGAGGCACTCTGAGTGTCTTGAGTATTTGCTCGCAAGGGAGAACTTCTTTTGTTTTCGAAGCATTTTTGGTAGTGATGCTTTGGCACTATTTACTTTACTCTCCTGATTCCTTAAAGCATCCAGAGTGTACCTTAACTCATAGTTTGATGACCTGGGCCATTAGAAATTTTAGCTGCCATCTCTACCAGTGATGCCTTTGAGGCTCCTGACTCTAGGCCCCAGGGCATCCCAGATTCTTTCGTGTAAACTGTGTCTTCCCGTGATTTGGCATCTCTTTGTGCTCTGATTGCAGGGGGGCAGCCCCTCCCCCTTTGTGACTGGTTCCCTGAGGAGGAGCCCTGAGAAGCTTGTTAAGAGTGAAAGTGATGGTAGTTGGGGCCGGGCACAGGTTGGCAAGCTGCGTCTCGAAGGCCAAAGCCAGCCCTGTGCCTGTCTCACATCACGTGTGAGTTAAGAGTGGCTTTCATGTTTTCAAAACTTCCAAAGAGGAGTAGTGCTTTGTTTCACCTGAACAAAGTGTGAAATCCAAATGTCAGTGTCTGTAGATACAGCCAGTATCTGCAGGAGGTTGGTGCTCCTGACACAGGTGAGTACTTGCAGCTGAGATTGCACACCCACCACACTCACTAAAGTATTTGTCACCTGGCCTAGCCCTTCACAGAAAAGAAAGTTTGCCAGGCCTTGCCTTAAAGACTGAGGGTCACTTTAATGAATAAAGGCCACAAACATCTTTGCAGGGATTTTGATACATCACCTTGGTTGCCCTGAGGCCTTTTGGGTCCTAAACTCAGCTGAAATGTGTAAGGGAGGGTATAGGAGGGTCTGGCCCATGCCTCCCATTGCCTTTGGTCTGCATGCAATTGTCGAAGGTGTGAAGAGAAGCGAGCCTGAGGAAGGCTGAGGCCACCGTGGACGGCAGAGGCAGTCTCACCACTGCTACCCAGTTCTGAAGGGAAGCAATGTGACATTTGCTCTTTAAAAAATTGTGTACATTTTCAGAGGAGTTTCACATTAACATTTCAGCTGTTTGCAGAAGAGGATTGGTATTTCTGACCTGTGTAGTACTTGAGTAGTGAGTCTTTGTGTTGGGCAGGGTCTCAGTTTTGTTGTCAGAATCCCTCATCCTGGCAGGGCAAGTCAAGCCCCGGAGATTACCAGTATGGGGACAGCAAGTGACCTACTTGGTGGTTGGCATGATATTCGGGGATGAGTCCACTCATCCCCTGCATGTGCTACAGTCAGATTGTGTCTCAGTGGTAGCCAATTCTGTCCATAGTGTGGGGGCACCGATTCCTGGTTTGCAGTCAACACTTATGCTGGGAGCACAGACCAAAGGGCCTGTATGGCTCTGGGTTTCCTGAAAGGGCCCCTGGTTGAGGGCTGACACTCTACCATCTTCCATGCACTTGCCTTCCTGTGTCCTGACCTTACACCACTCATTTTTCTTCTGCAAAGTCCATTCAAATGCCGTTAATCTCTTTGGCCATGTCCTGAAGTCTCTTCCATCCTTGTGTAAGAACTCAAGTGTGATGGGGTGGGTGTGGCTTGTTCCCTGGGGACAGGCTCTGGGGCATCTTTCACTGGAATCAGGCCCTTCGTCCTTATGGGACCTTATGTTCTTTTCAGGGGGACACTTGGATCAGTGATTGTGTCCTAGCCTTTGCTTGCTGTGTTAGTTACTTTTCTCTCATTGCTGAGACAAAATACCTGATACTCAAAATTAAGGGAGGAAAGGTTTTATTTAGCTCACAGTTTGTGGAAGTTTCATTCCATAATCAGTTGGCTCCAAGGCAGGGTGGCATGACAGGCAACAGTTCAAGGTGGTAGAATACCGCAAAAGCAGCAGAAGCAAAAGGGGAGGGGACAAAACAGTCTTTTTTTCCTCACTTATATTATAAACAAGCTACCACCACCTAGGGTGAGAATAGCACTCACACCATCTCCTGGTCCCTCCTCTTGCACAGGATGAGGAAGTTTACAAAGTAAGGACCCTGGTCCCCTGCTGAGTCACTTCATTAAGCTTTTAAACTTTTCAAGTTGACACAGTGTATCAACCATAACAGTCTCACCCCTTGTCAACCAGACACATTTCTTTAAACAGATTTCCAGATACAAGGACATGCTTATTATCAGTCCACAACTTGAACTTTGCAACATAGATTTAACAATCCTGAAGAACAAGTATTAAGTGTGTCATATTATATTATGCAGTAGAACCATAACATTCTTCCCCTGTCCCCCAAAAGACTCTTATATATCCCTTTATGCAAAAGACATTTAGTCCTGCAAGAGTTGTCAAAGTCCTAACAGTTTCAGCAGTCCAAGTCCCAAGTCTCTTCTGAGATGTAAGGCAAACTCTTAGCTGCAAGCCACAAATGAAAAGTTAAACATTGCCAACATTCAATGGCACAAGTAAATATTTTCATTCCAAAAGTTACAAATGGGGATATAAAGGAGTGGGACCAAAGCAAGCCCAAAATCTAGCAGGGCATACATTAAGTCCTATAGTTCCATGTGTGCCAGTTGAGGCAGTCGGGCAGATTGTGAGCTCTTTTTGGTTTGAGTGGCTGCATACTCTGTGGCATTTCCAGTGGTTATAGCTCCCACAGCTTCTCTTTCCGGCTGGTTATGCTCCCTCCTTGCAGCTTACCTAACATACTAGGTATCCATGTTTCTGATTTTCCCAAACTAATGGGGTCTCTGCGGCACCTTTAGCTTCATACTCACAGCTTGACACACTGCCCTCTTAGGGGCACACTGCCTAGCCTCCCAGGTCTTCTCAATTGGAGTGGAAGCCTTTTTAACCCCAAAACCTTTGCGTTCTGTATGCACCTAAAACCAGCACCACATGAATGATGCCAAGGTCTGCTGCCAGTTGGAGCAGTGGCTAGGCTTCCTTCTCTCAGCTGTAAGGGTGCCTATATCACTGAGCATGCTGAATCCAATTCTAAGGAACATATTCTCTGTGCTGCCACCATCCTGGAACCTGGTGCAGCCACTCCCATTCTTGAACAAGATACTCTGTGGCTTTCTTCTCAGGGCAAAGTCTTTCACTTTTGCAGTTTTGACAGTGCAAAGGGTGGAGATTTGCTGCCTTTTGCAGTCCCTTCAGGCCATCTTTTCTGTTCTCCTTTCCTACTCGGCAATTAAGATTTCCTCAGCTCTGTCTTTGTAGTCTACAGTTTTATTGGAGCTTCCTGTATGTTTTAAGTCATCCTACTGGGCTCTTTTCGCTTACTTCACAACCTAAATCTGGCTAAAAGCCCCCTAAAATAGCCGTGCCTCAGCCTCAACATTTGACTGCCTTGAAATTTCTTCTTCCAGGTTAATCAGGCAACTGTCCTTAATCTTAGTCTCAGGCAGAGTCTCTGGACATGAGCAAAATGTAGATAGACTTTCTGCCAACCCACAACATACATCATCTGGAGTCCAGCAGCTAGTACAGTTCTTTCCCGTAAAAACTTCTGGAGCCCAGTCTTTACCAGCATGATTTCTAACAGCTTTCTCGTCTTCTGAGCTGTGACCAGAATCTCCTATACAGAACAGCCTAAGGCATTCTAGCTCTGCTCTTTCAGGCAACACTTGAGAATCTTTCCAAACTTCTCACAAGCCACTCCCAAAGGCTGTTGAACCACGTGATCAGGTGTAGTTGCAGTAACAGCTCAACTTCTCTGGTACCAAATTCTGTCTTGGTTACTTTTCTCTCATTGCTGAGATAAAAGTATCTGATGCCCAAAATTAAGGGAGGGAAATGTTTACTTAGCACACAGTTTGAGGTTTCAGTAGAGGTTTCAGTCCATAATCAGCTGGCTCCAAGGCAGGGCAGCATGGCAAATGGGCAGCTGTTCAAGGTGACAGCAGACAGCAAAAGCAGCAAGCGGAAAAGGGAAAGGAGAAGAGCAAGCCTTTTTGTCCTCCCTTATACTGTAAGCAGACTACCACCCCCTCTGCTGGGTGTAGCACTCCAGCTCCTATTCCCTCCTCTTGCACAGGAAGAGGATATTTACAAAGTGTAGACCCTGGTCCCCCTGCAGAGGCAGTTCATTAAGCTTCTAAACTTCCCAAGTTGACACAATGTATCAACCATAACACTTGCTCAATCTGACATGGGACTGAGCCAGGCAAGTAGTGTTAAACTTCAAGAAAACTAAGTCTATTTGTAATCACTGAATGCATACTCAGAGTATAGGCATCACAAATTATACAAAGTCATTAAAATGTTTCCTAACCTTTTCCTTCCAGGTAATTGAAAACATGGCCTCAAAACAAAAATTCACTAGTTATGGTAAGCACTTTTCTTGTCGGTATATTTACTTTCTAGAAGCACTGAGGGGGAACAGAGAAGGCACTGAAATTGTGAGGAAAACCAAATTACCTGAGGTCAAGCTGTGGAAAGGGCAACAGAGCAGGGGTGAGCCAGCACTGGGGAGTACAGAGACCTCTTCTCCCCATCAGCTTTGCAGGACTAGGGCAGCAAGGGAAAGACAGGGCTGTTTCCTTCCTCCCCGCTCCCTGGGAGAAGCCAGCACAGCTCCACATTAGGATTGGCAGTCATCAGATGAGTATCTGGGATGAGAAGCCCGTCCCAGCAGTTTAGCACCTGGGCCTAGAGGTCACCTGAGGTTGGGTCACACCCTTCACCTGACAAAGCCACTCTCGATGAGATCCAGGCAATTTAGAGCAGAGCCTTCACAGTGTAGTGAGCCTATGAAAGCAGACTGTTCTTCTGTCTCACACTCAATCAGCAAGGGTGGTTTTAAATGAACTTCAGGTCAATTATCTAGAGGTGATTTATGTGCAATTAATTAACATGCATTGTCTGTGTCCTCAAGGGAAAGCACTAGGGAACTAAACTTCCTGAGAGAAAGTAGGATCTGAGGATTGGGAAGGATTAGCCACAGTTGGAGTTCAGGCTGGGCGGTGCGGTAGAGCCCAGCAGATGGTGCCTTCCTGGCTGCACCGCCAAAGTTTATTCTGCAGCTGCCTGGCATCACTGGGTTTCTCTACTGCCATTCAGGAAGGCAGTGAAGGCTTCACAGAAAAAGCTTCCCAAAGAATCAGGGGGACCTGCAGACCTGGTGGGACAGAAACGGGGGCCTCAAGCAGGGGATTTAGCTCAGCAGCCCAAGTTCCTCCCTGGCAAGCTCAAGGTCATGAGTTTGATTTGTAGTACCAACAACAACAAAAAAGGGCCTGGCTTCTGGGGCCTCTGCCTTTGACTAACGCCTGTGCCTCTTGTCTTTCAGATTCAACATGTTCCACAGAAGCCATCCCAACTCAGCTTAAATTATAAACATAAATTTGTTCAAATCTGCGTGGTGCTTCTTTAGTAAATACTGTACAGATTTTACCATGAATTTTTTTTTTTTAGTTTTTACCTTTTCTTAATTGCCCTTATTCCAAAAGGATGAACACTTTCTACGACTGCTGACCATTGTAAAATACAGTGTATATAAATCACATTGAAATAATGCCCTGGAATAGAACATCTCAAATGCTGCTTAATTACAGACTCAGGTTGATTACTTGTATTTCATGTAATGTTCCTCCAAGTTAGACATCTGATGGTGCAAGACCAACCGGGAAACCATGGAATTATTAAAAGTACAAACTGACAGTGCGTGTATTTAATTTAAAGACTTATTTAAAAATTTACAAGCTCTCAACGAGACTTTTGAGAGCAGTCTTTTCTGTAATGTCTGATACTAGAAACTAATTTGCTTCCTATTTTAGTTGTATTCAAGATTTGAAAATGTATTTTATAGACAAGTTCTGTTTTTGAACTTCGTGGAACTATTCCAATCAACTTACCAGTTATGATGAGTATTCACATTATGAATGTATAATCCAAACATTGTTTGTAAAGCTTACAGTACGTTTTTATTACATAACACTTTTTTATACTGTGTCTCGTCACCTGTATGATACTGGAGTCTGAGTTGTCAGCTTGGTCCCTTAAAGTTTCTAGTTACAGACAAAATCATACTGTGATTTTATTTTTAATATGGATATGCTATCAAACTGTGATACACTTATAATTCACTGGTCCTGCATCAGGAGACGGAGTGGGGAAAACTGTATTTAATACAGTTTCTATCTGAATAATCTGTATGGTTTATACAGCTTGTGTTGTTCAGAGATGTCTAAAGTTTGATCTTTGTTTTTTTAAAGATTAAAAAAGCACTTGCCCCACTGTAAATATACAGCATGTAAAATTTATATAGTATATAAATGGCAGCAAATTAAACAATTTGTGTCAGTTTTTACTTCTGTTTTCCCCCATTTGCTTCCAGCCATGTCTCCTCTGACTTTGGAAACACTTTCTTTAAAACCTTCACAGCTCTGGCTAGTATCTCAGTAGGTGCCTCAGACCTTGGAGATGGGTCAGGGAGAACCAGGGAGTGGTTTGCTGGATGCAGTGCTTCTCTATTTTAAAGAAGCAAGTCTTAGAAAACCTTGTTTTAACAACGTAGGAGATTTTTACTTAGTGAAGACAACCTTGGAATTCTTAATAGACATACACCCTTTAGTTGGACTGTTCACTTTGCAACAGTATATCTGTAGGTATTTTAATATCAATAGAATATTCAGGCAAGTTATAGGGGGTATATACATTGAATAACAGAACACTCCAGAAATCAGTATATGTACACTGTATACATATTAACTATATTTAGGTAATAGAAATGTTTTCTGAGGAGGAAAATAAATCACCACTTGTGGATTCTGGTCTATAATAGACCTAACTGCTCATCAAAGCACATCTGTGTAGATGTGTGAATTTGTAACCTTGAAAATACCACTGCTTTGTGCTTCATCTATAAACAGTTCTTTTAGTCCATTTGATGTCACATTAAGCTACTTGAAACTGTTTCAGGACCTGGAGATGGGGCTTGTGTGGGTCCTGGGTGAGTGCAAATAAACCTCAAATGATAACTGGGACCCAGGGAGACAGCTAGGGGCGCTGTGGAGCTGCCATCTGCCCAGTTTTCCTGAGAAAACCCGAGACCCAGTGCAGATGCTCGGGTCAAGAGGTGATGAGCAGCCTCACTGCCCCTGTAGTGAAGTTAGGGGGGAGGGTGTCCTACTTGTAGGTGGCCTGGTGGAGGCCAGATACAAGGCAGACACAGGATTAATACTGTCACAAGAAAACCTGAAATTAGATGATTCATGTAATACTCAATAGGGCAGGTCACTTAAGATTCTAAGCACCTGGGCTTTGCATAATTCTGAGTGAACAGCAGGTTACTGGTGATGAAAGGTTCACCACCAGATGACTCCATGCTCATGTCTCTGAACACCATAAAACAAAGTGCCATATCCCCAGGACTGTACCTGGCTCAGCAGAGAGGAAGCCTCTCTGAATTGCTGATCCACCCCTGCTGCTGTCCCTGCCAGGGTTGTCCTCAGTGTGGCCTGCAGCATGGTGGCATCATGGTTGGTCCAAGTTTGGGCAGCACTTGTGCACAGCAGACAGGGATGGGGGATAGTTGCATATATAGTAATCAGGCATGTCAATGTGACCAATTTGCCTTGCTTAAACAGTAAAGCTAGTCTGAGGTATCAATAAGAAACAGCAGGAAGCATGGGAATAAAAACTCAGTCTAATGCATGATAGAGTTTCAGCCTTGGACCGTCTGCAGTCTGGTGTGACATAAAACTACACACTAAGGTCAGCCACCCAGAGGCAAAGGTCCCAGGGTTGCACAGTCTCTGCCTCAAGGCAACTCATGGGAAGACTTGTTTGTGCATAAGTGCTATTTCAGGGTTTTCAAGGAAAACAATTTTTTAAATTAATAATTTAATACAGGATGTGTAATTTATAGGATTATTCCATAATAGTCACCTGTTATGGTTTGTGTTTGGATGCCCCCTTAGCCCCTAAAAACTCATGCAATCATGGACAAGGCTGGGTCCAGCATTCGTGAATGGTTCATTGCCTAGCACTGAGATTGGTGTAAGTGCTACATCCACCCAAGGGCAGAGCTGACATACAGTAAGTACTGACATACAGTAAGGGCAGGTAAAAGATGTGCCTTTTTTCTTTCGTTGAGGTTTGCTCTTGATGTTTTGCAGGGGCCATGAATGCCATCCTCACCATGCCACTCTGCCTTGGAGCCAGCTGAGTGTGGACTGTAAGTTCCAAAATTATAAGAAATAAACCTTCCCTTTCCGAATTTTGCCTCAACAACAAGAGAAAAGTAACTAAGACATCACCCAAAGAGTGAAATACAAAAAAGTTCAGGAAATTTGTCTGCACACTAAAGACCCGAAGAATCCAGCTGAGGACATGGATCTCATGACAATGTCCTGCATTAATCCAGGTAAAGACCTAAAGCCCATGACAGCTGGAGGCTTACAGCCAACAACCATGTAATATGCAAGTCTGTTTCATGGATCTGTGCTGGGAAGGCCCAAAGACCAGTGGTGGAAGCAGTGGTGGAAGTCTGCCAGTGGGCTGATGGATCTGCGCTGGAGCCAGGAAGCAATTCCCAAGGTAAGGGCCAGAGTTTTCCTGTAAAGCACTACAGCTATCCTTGGTGACATTGAAGTCCTGAGCTTCTCCAACAGTGAGAACAGCTGAGTTCATATCAGTAAGCCAGCGTGACAAGCTTCTCCAGGAGATTGAATGGCGCACCATCTTCCTGACCAGAGCCAGGAAGCAATGCTAAATGTAAGGACCAGAGCTCCTCCAAAGTGAACTGTAGCCATTTTCAGCAATAACAAGGTCCTGAGCTCCTCTGATGAGAACATCCAAGTTTGTGTCAGGAAAGAAGCTTGACAAGTTCCTCCAGGAGAACCAACAGCAACAGGAAAACCAACAACACTCCTTTCTCTTCAGTTCCCCTTTTTATGCTGTTGGCAACAATCCTTAGGTGGGCCATCCATACCCAGCACCATGCTGATTCAGTCCAGATGGCTGTTGTAAGTTGACTACCAGTTGTCAATCCACCACAAGTGTATTCAGTTTGAGGTTTTCAATCCTGGACTTGCTTTTGCACAGGAAAACAACCTCTAAATTGCAAAATCTGGATGTGCCTCCACAGACAGAGCTAGTTGGGGCAGGGGTCACCACAAAGCAGCCCATGTATGGAGCTAAAGAGGGCCCAGGTGTTAATGCTTGGGCTCCCCAGAAGGAAGACTGTATCGCCGTGTCCTCGTCCTTGCCCAGTTCTGACTGTCTCAATGGTGGAATCATCAATCCCTCTGTTGTATGGGGAGGAGGGCCCACCTCAACTGAGATTTGGAGCCCTCTACTGTTCACAGAAAACCCTAAGTGCCACACACTTTCAGCTGTGGCTCACTCTCCCCCTTCTTGCAAAGGTAGCTTAGGTCTGAGAACATGGTACTGCAAGAGGAAGACAATGGACTGTTCCCACTTGTTTATATATCTAGTCATATATTAAGAAATCTGATTATCTCAGAGAGAGAAGCATTTTGTTGAAGGCTTCAAGTAGCAGTGGACGTGGTCAAAAGCTGATCTAATCTATGTATTCCATGAAACTAGGTAGAACTGCTGTTTGCATGGGCCAGAAATGGTCAGGTACAAGCAGTTTCCTCTGGCCCAACCTATGGATGATCTGCCAGGGAAAGAATTCCTTTTCCTTGGATTCAGCAGTTATATGACAAACAGCCCCAAACTGTAATTACCTTTATCTGTCTGTCTCTGTTTCTATCTCTGTCTCTGTCGCTGTCTCTCTGTACCAGGAATCAAACTCAGCGACCTTGCGCTTTCCAGGTAGGTGCTGTGCCACTGAGCTATATCTTGGGCCCCCTCATAACCATATCTTAATGTATGGCTTTAGAAAGTATTTGCAGGGGAATTGCAGGGCTTATCACACCTGCAGCCCCCAAGTTTACCAGTCCTTGAGAACACTAGTGCCTCTTCCTGCAGCTCCCACCCAACTGCAAGTGCCCCACAGCCCTCTCTTTGGGTGCTGCATATACTTTTTTTTTTCAGTGCACAGTATATATTTGTGTCCAGGAGTTGTATTCATAGCTGCCATTCTAAAAATACTACTGTTAGGAAGTGTCTTTCATTATAACTTGAGAATATAAAAAGGCATATAAAAGCTATAATCCTATATATCTGAGAAAAATCTGAATTAAAAAAGTGGTAATTTTTGCATTTCCATTTTGATATAAAACAGTGGCTTCTAGAATGGTCACTGCCACTGCCCAAGTGGGCCGATGCACGTGGCAAGATCAGCAGATGCCCACAGGGAATCTCCCTCCCATCCTGTGGTGCCGTAGGAAGCAAGGCTCTGGGCCAGGTGGCACCAGGAAGAAACACAGCTGACCACGATGCAGGCCACACACAGCACAGGCTTCGGGGTGTGCAGCTGTGCCACAGCTGGCTCTGGAAACCACTGTCACTGGAGGAGGTGCAGCCCAGCTGTCATGTTAGGGCAGCCGTCAGTCACATCTGCTGTGAGGTTCGGGTTGTAGTTTACCTGCTGGGCCAAGGCAGCTCTATTTCTTATTGGCAATCCTTCCTTTCCTCGTTGCCAACATGTCGTAGAAAGGATCCCTGCTGATGCTTGCTCTGGGAAAGAAAAGGAGCAGGTTTGGGTGAGGGCAGCACTGGCCCTGGAGAGCCCAAACCCCTCTCTTCTTCTAGCCCCTCCTGTGCCTCAAATAACACAGCAGCTTCACACTGTGGGGTGGGCTCAGCAGCACTGCCCCCAAGTTTCTGGAGACACAAGGGTCAGAGTGTAAACTGAGTGTGTCCTAGCACATGTGCACGTGCTCACTCCCCAGCCTCACTTACTTGATGGATTTCATCCACTCCTCCTTTTCCTCAGGGCTCGGGGCAGAGATATGATACCCCACGTGGTTTCCCTCAGCCATCAGCCTCTGTCTTGCAGGCTTTGATGACCTGCCCTTTGTGGCTGGGATACTAGTGCTCAAAGCAGTGTTACGCTTTTGGCCTGGGGTACCTGCAGGCTCAGGCCAAGGAGGCACAAAAGGGACACAAGTTTCTGTAGATTTTCTACCTCTCTGCTGCTGAGGTTTTCCAGTGGGATGATGCCCCTAGGCTCTTATCCTACAAGGAAAGGCACATGGCCAGCCACAGCAGCCTGAGGGCCCCTGCCCAAAGGTCCTGAATCATATCAATCTATCCTGGAAAGCCAGCAGCACCTTTTGGCAGAATAGTAGATAATCTTAGCAGTCTTGCATGGAGACCACACTCATTTGGCTTGCCACAGTCCAAGCAATGTCCTCTGGTCTAAGCTTCCAGATGAGGCA